CTTTGGATTATCTCTGCTTTAGACCCTGTGTGATAAGGTCCTATGATTTACATTTACATCTCCATTTTGTGGTGCTTTGTTCTCCTCCTTTGTGGTTCTGACATCTGGCCACCCTGGGCTCAGGCTGACCGGATGTCCTCCTTGTCCAGGACATGTCTTACATGCCCACCTCCTGTCCAGGAGGAATTTCAAAAGGTCCTCCCTTTTGAGCATGACCAAGAAGCATGGATTTATATTGATATGAGGGGTTTTGAGCTTTTATTGGGTGGTCATCTTCCGTATCTTCTTGAATATCCTAATTTTGCAGCCCCTTGTCCTCCTTTGTGGCTCTGAGACCTGGTCACCCAGGGTCTTCCTCTGTAGCCAGAGCACATCCTATATTTCCACCTTCTGTCCAGGAGGAATTCAAAAATGTTCTCCATTCTGAGCATGACTAAGAAGCATGGATGTATATTTCGAATAGTGTTTGAACCTTTTCTTTGGTCATGTCCTCCATTTTTCCTTGAAGGTCCTCCATTCTGTGGTGCCTTGCCCTCTTTTTCAGACATCTGGTTACCCTGCTTGGGAGGAACCCAAGAGAGAAGAGGCCAGGGTCCCCCTCTCTACACTAGAAATAATGCACTGTTGATGCCATTTTAACATCCATGACTCCATCCTACAGAATCCTGGGGTTTGTAGTTTTGTGTGGTGCCAACACACTTTGGCAGAGGAGGCTAAAGGCCTTATAAAACTACAAATTACAGGATTCCATAGGATGGAGCTACAGCACTTTAAAGGGATGCCCAACTGCTTTCTTTCTAAAGTGTAGATGTACCCTCAAGTCTCTCTTGCTTCCTGCAGCCAGCTTTGGAAAGGTGGCTGTGGAAAGGGCTTCACTGCTGGTAGCAGGAGCTTCACAAGCAAGCATGGTGTAGTGGTTTGCATGTTGGACTGCAACTCCAGAGACCAGGGTTCAGTTCCCAGCTCAGCCATAAAACACATTGGGTGATCTTGGGCATGTCACACCAAGTGCTCTCAGCCTCATAGGAAGGCAACGGCAAATCTCTGAACAAATCATGTCAAGAAAATAACAGGATAGGATTGGCTTATGATCACCATAAATCAGAAATGACTTGAAGGCACACAACAACAACAAAGCATGTGCTTTTATAGACTTGAGCCTACTTCCTCAGATGCATGCTGAAGCTTAGGCTACCAATTTCTTTCAGTTAGTTTCAAATGTGCTACAAGATACCCTTGCATACTGATTTTCCACACAGACATGTCTTTGAATTCCAGTCCTATAAGCTGTACAGTAAATAGCTATGATGATGATGATGATGATGATGATGATGAGAGCCAGCATGGTGTAGTGTTTTGAGCACTGGACTACTAGTCTGGAGACCAGGATTTAAATCTGCACTCACCCATGGAAATCCACTGGGTGAACTTGGGCAGGTCACACTTTCTCAGCCTCAGTTTGAGGCACTGGCCAAAGAAAACCCCAGGATAGGTCCACCTTAGAGTTGCCATAAATCAGAAATGACTTGAAGGAACACAATCACAGAATTATATTAACAAAATAATTCCTAGATCCTTGAATAGAACTTGAATCAATGGTGGTCTGAAACTCCAGTTGGTAAAACCTAATTGTGAAATCAATAATAATAATAATAATAATAATAATAATAATAA